ATTGGGGTGGAATAATGGGGGGGGGACGGGTGGAAGAAACAGTAACCGGAAAATGTATCAGTAAGGAGGATCGGGGACAAGTATTCGGCACATAATGTTCTTCCAGGATGAGCGTGACGTCGAGGAGGGCTTGGGAAGGGCATTTTGCACTTTCGCCGATTCCATTTGCTAGTTCATGTTAAGTAACAGGTCTCATATTGGTGAGACCTTTGAATCCTTGTAAAGCAACGAAAAGGTGCAAGTAAGCTTTTCTGCTGACCAGAATTCACATTTCTTTACAAATTGGCTTGCACAAACTTTCCTGAGTACCATTTGGTGCAACTACCAAGCCGAAATGCACCTCGTGGAGTTCTACCTAGGTTGCCAAGGTGCATGTGCTGATTGGACACCGGAAAGCCAATTTGGCCGAAACTTGGGTTATTGGATTGACAGAAGCTTCAGGCAAATGCTCTTCTTGCTACAGTCAGCCATAGCACCAGTTTGTAGGACATTTCTGACAAAAAGACATACCCCTTTGCTGCGCGAGGGAAAATCAAAAATCAGAAAACTGTCATGGCGCTACCCCCTCTCTCTAGTGGCCAAACACGACCCCCGTTGTGTCATACGCAATCAATAGTTAGCCCTGGCTATAATATTTCTGTGGAAATTTTCAATACGTCGTCTATCAATATTATAGAGATGGGGGCAGGTAAAAGTATTATATGCGAGTGTGAGTCTTAAACCTGTTATTACTTCGCTGAATTGTTAAAGTGAAGAGTACTTCTCATCAAGGATTTTCTCATGGCGGAATAACACCCCACTCAAGCGGCCGAATCGACCCTTGTGATTCATCCCGGTCTACCTCTCTTCAAGAGTACTCATGATAGACGATGCTAGAACAGTGTTTAGCTCAAGTTCGGGAAACATGTGGTGTTTTGACGGAAAAATATCATCTTTGGTGTCTTGAATGTTTCACAGTGAACAACATACCGTCATTTATTCATTTATGCCCTTGAAGATTGAACATATGCGCTGTACGATTTATTTTCAGTGCGATATAAACAAGACTTTTCTTACCTATGAGTGAGGATTGAAGGCACAGTTCACGATAACCGTGTGGGCGGAGACCGTCAATCGTTGCGTCTTTCTCATGGAAATGTTCCTTCCACGGGGTAAAGAGGAGTTATACACTGCTGAGAAAAGCGGCGAGCCGTTGGAATGCCGTTGAATGTAACTCGCGGCTCACCAGATCGAAGTGTTGGCGAGTCGGGGCAAGATTCTCAAGATATTTACTAAGTTATTCAGGCAGGTGAACTTCTAATGTAGAACAGCAGCTCTGGGCCGATGATCCGAAACGAACATTACTGGTTTTTCCGTTCTGAAGTGACGAGCGAGACGCACAGCAATTTAGAACTCTGAAGGGACTGGCGATCAAAATCTTGCGAGGGTTGGCCAAGCGAAGTGGGGCGGATTCCTCCTGCTTTGTGGGGCGGGGGCTTCGTGTGGGCAGTCCAAACATGTAAAAAGTAAAAAAAGAAAAAATAAAAAATGTAAAGTAAATGTAAAAGGTAAATGATTGCGACCTTATAGGCTTAGTCCTGTAAGTTGCGCGTTCACAAAGAGAGCATAATGGTCGACTGTCTCTAGAGATGCTAGCAACGTTTATTTGACATATGTCATCCAAAAAGGAGGTACAAACGGCCTTTATGGGCTCTTTTGAGTTGATTTATTGTAGTTTTTCGCAGTCCAGTCTTTCTCCTTACGCACTAATTAGTTACATATGTCAGGAACTGAGTACGAATTCGAAGAAAGAAATGATTCTCGAAGAGCAATTGCTCAAAAAATTTCGCCAGTAGTATCAGTTCACTGTCCTAAAATGTTTCAGTCCTACTTTTAGTGTTTCAGACTTACTGCACAAATGTGTCGTCGCTCCCGGCCGCTCATTCGACGGTTGAGGTTCGCTTCGAAAGAGGGCTCCCGTTGTTGACTGTGAATTTACCATCACGGCAAGAATCATGTCAGTTCTCTCTGAGACCACTGACAGATGACGTCGGAAGTTTCTGCGATCAACTCCATAGAGAAGATCGTGGATTGGATTTTGTAGCAGTGTATACAAACGGTTTGTTGTCTTTATTATTGATGCATATTATTCTTTTTTATTCGGAGATAATCCCCGCGATTGCATATTTTGGAAAGTTTCATTCAGTAAGGGACCTATGGTTGCTGAATGGCTCTCCAGAAGAAAGAAAGCAAAAAAGATGGAGAACACCAGGACCCCTGGCAGCCTCACTGTGCGAGTTGTTCGGATCTGCTGCTTCCATGCTAGCAATGTGATATTCTGCCGCTTCTGGCTCATCAACCGTTTCTTCGCATCATCTCATTCTGTTACTTCCTATTAGCCAAAAAAAGGAAAAACACGGTGAACTGAACTTGTGACAGAAATCGCCTTTTGGTTTTGGTGAGCGGGACAACTAGGAAGGCGTCTACTGCATGGGGGCTGCAGCGCCTCCATCACTATCTGTGATGCTGCTTCAGAAAAGGGACGATCTCCCAGACTGCGGGTCAGACTACTTGCATGAGGACGCCCAGGAACTGCTTGAGCGCGGAGGCTAACTGCAAGAGCGGAGGTAATGTGATGGCTCCGCTTATCATACATGCGGTTCGGGCTTCGAAATCCCAGATCAGCTTTTTTCGCATGGGCTAACCAAGCCTACATCCCTCTACGACTGGCAGATGCCATCGAAGGTTGCTGACTCCCACTTAGGCTATCCCCTCCTTGCTGTGTTGGCCATATCGTCACTTCGATTCTAATATCACAAGTAGAATGCACGGCATATCCCACAAGGATCAGTTGACGAGAACAGCTGACCTTTTGCTCTCTTTTCTTTCGAGGAATGTTTGGTGCATTGAGAAACCGTGTTTTGAGAGTGATACCAGGATCTTCGAACCAATGTTCATGCAGAATGTGTGGCACATTTGAACAAGGGATCAGTCAAATGCACGCCCCGCGTTCAAAAATAGCGGTTTGTGCGGATCAAATCCTAGTGACGAGATGGGAAATAAAATAATGGTGAGGAAGAAAGCAGAAAAAACCTGTCTGAGTTAACTCACATAGTGCCCATGCTGAATTGCACTTGCGCGAGCTGAAGACGAAGAAGGGACGTACAGACGAGTTTTCCAGCTGTACCGTAGTGGAAAAACCGCCCTCGGCTAACAGTTAAAAATGAAAGCTGGGCGTAGCCGTGGCCAGTGGGCCGGGCCATGGTTCCGTTGCGAGTGGTCGGCGCTTTCCTCGCGCATTTGAGCTGCGAAAGTAATAAATCCTTCATGCTTGCGAGCAGAACTACCATGTTCAAAGAAGGCGCCTGAAAATAATGAATGCGGGGCGTGCCTCTAACATCAAAAGCTCTGTTATTTATTCTGTCCTTAATTGTTAAAGATGGAGTACGCGTGTCCATGTCAACATCTATCGAGCATCTGCTGCAGTTCGGTGGATTTCGGCTGCGACTAAACGATCGCTACTACGATGTGACAGTACCAGAGCGGACGTTAGAAGACGATTTAGGTAGTGATAGGTGAGTGAAATATTGGTTGATTCGTAAATGATAGTTTTTCTTCTAGCATAATGTTGTACTGTATGGTGCTGTATGAATGATAGTATGTTTCTTTTTTCAAGTTCCGCCTGGGTTCTGACTTTTGCCCTCAACTCAGCATAATAATTTCTGTTTAATACCTTATTCGTTAATTCGCGATCTAGAGGTCATCACAAGAATGCTGGGTGAGAGTTTTGACCACAGGCGGACTAACACCCCCTCTTTACCTCGGGCCAGCAAAATTTCGAGTTGAAGAAAAGACATCATAATTCATGAACCTAATAGTACAGCAGTAGAGCATTTTTTTATTTCCTTCAGAAAATCTACTTTTAAACAGTTGGGTTTTCTGTTCTGAAACTTTTTCAGAAAGTGGGTTTTGGGATCTTATTGTTTTATGTTCCAACAAAAATCTCATTGTGGGCGTTTGAGACATACAAAAGGTCATTTCATCCATCCATTCTACGACTCCATGTGAGATTCTCATGGGAATAAGTCACCGGGAATAGATTTGATTGAAAATCGGTCTGTTGGGCTAGCGTGACTCCTTGCGCCAATATAATGTCCCTCAAGAATTTTCTTGTCAAGCGGATGTGGAGTTCATGTTTAAAATGTCATGTTCCCGAAGGGGCATGTCTGACGCTGGGATGGGGTCGTATTTGGTCGCTGCAGTCGCTGGAGGGAAGGATGGGGTCGTAATTGCCTGTGGAGAAAATGTTTTCGGTAACTGACTTCTCTCGCTTTTGGTGTTTCCATGGGGCTATGTAGCGCTGCCTTCCCCCACCTCCCGCCCGGCCGCTCGCATGGGGGGGGGGAACAACTGAGAATTTTCTGGAAGAAATTAGGGAAAAGTGGAGTAGTAGGAAATTGGCAAAATTGAGGAATGTGGTAGTATAGGCGCTGGGGAAGGGGATCACTCTAGAGCTGGAACCTTTGAGGGGGAAGGGGTCGGTCTCTGCAAAAGTTTTCCCAAACGGCAGGACGTGCCCTGACTCCCGCCTAGAATTCTTTAGCTGTGTTCATACTTTGCGTCAGCGTCCACCTGCGACCAAGAGAGAGTCTGAGGGAGAAGCAGGGTGGCAGACTGGGGAAGTAGGAGAGGAGAGCAGGTAGTTGGATTAGGCATCGTGAAATTGTGGTGGGTGCACCATACTATAGGCTGCGTTTATACTGTTTGCGCACGATAGCCGTAGCGCTTCCAGCCAGCGTACGGGCCACGGCAGTGGCGAAGAGAGGATGGCATATCGATCTAAGCTTCACGCCAGCGTCACCAGCGGCACCTACTTACGAGCCATGGCGTTTCCCCACAGCGTATTCACGGCCAGCGTTTTGCTAGCGTTTGCAGCGGCAGGGGAGTAGAGACTATGGGAGAGCTGGAGGGTACAAAACACATCGATTGCGCGTCTCTCACTCGCCCTTAGTCTCTACAATGCACATCGCTTCTGCGTCTCCGACGGCCACATAGTCTCTACAATGCACATCGCTTCTGCGTCTCCGACGGCCACATAGTCTCTACAATGCACATCGCTTCTGCGTCTCCGACGGCCACATGGTCTCTACAATACACGTCGATTCCGCGTCTCTCACGGCCACATAGTCCTCGTCTCCCCTGCGCTGCGAAGGCGCTAGCAAAACGCTGGTTGGCCGCCTGAAGAAAATCGCTCGAGAACGCTGGTGAACTGGATCCGATAGCTATGGCCTCCCGGTGCCCAGTCGCTACGACCCCGCGGTGCGCTAGCGTGCCGCTGGTGAGCGCTGGGACGCCTAGATTTCGTATGCAATCCTCTCTTCGGTCACTGTCCGCTGGCCGTACGCTGGAAGGCGCTACGCTACGCTTACGCTACGTGCCGACAAAGTACTAAACGCAAGCTTAACGTAAATACTGGTAAACCGGTCGAGCGGTGGACGCAGGTCGCGGTCGGCTGACCGCGGAGGCTGGTAGACGCTGCCGTTCGCTGGATTGATATCTATACTTTCCTAGTCGCTGACGAACGCTCGAAATGCTGATGGAGGCTGGTAGACGCTGGTAGACGCAGACAAACGCTAGATCGATATCTATTCTTTCCTAGACGCTGACGTATGCTCGAAACCCTGATAGTCGCTGGTGGTCGCAGGGGGACGCCGCCGCAAAGTATGAATGTAGCTTTGGCAAGATCGAGATTTTTACCTAAATGTTAAAAAGCAGGGTGGGGAAAGGGCTATCAGAGTTAGAAAACTTAACTGAGGGTGTCGAATAATTTGTAGGGGAGAGTTCTTTGATTGACTTTTTTCCACATTGAACTTGCTGCCTTATCGTATTTGTTACAGAATACGGCAAATTGACGATCTTAAAGCAACTGTTGCCTCATTGCATGCGGCCTTATGTGTAGACGAGTACAAAGTGAGATTTCAGAATATGTTTCTTACCCTTAAGAATAGGAGAGATGGGCAAGAGTATCGTAAATTGCCGCTCCGTCGCGCGCGGCAATGGGCGCGACGTTTCCTTGATTTGCACTACCCTTTCGATTGGAGCATCGGATTTCATGTAGACAAGGACATGGTAGACACTTATGTCTATTTTGGTCATACATTGTCTATTCTCGACCAATACCACCTAAAATCGTCGTCATTAGCGGGCGCGACGTCGCACGCGACGCCCACTGGCGCGGCGAATTACGATTCTCTTGCCACATACCCTAAGAATAGGATTACTTTGTTTTTTCTCATAACTCTTTCTGGCATTAATTTTGAACTATGAAATCAACCTGATCAATGCTGCTTAGGTAGGCAGAGAAAGGCGGCTGATCCAACAGCTGGAAAGAGCAGAGACCGAACTGCGACCACTTCACCAGGTCTGCTTTGTAGTTTTTCTTATTTGCATTACTTCTTTCATCCCTAATTTTATGGTCCAATTTTTTTTGTTGTTTCTTGCTATGCATGGACTATCGTGCTTATAATGGATCTATACTTCGACGTTTCTTCTTCGTTTATTTTATATTTTTGTTTTTTCATTTTCTTTTTAGGTTTTGGGTTTCTCATTAGATGGCATTGTTGTTGTGCCTTTCTTTTGACTTTTGAATTGATGGTTTTTACTTGTTATCCTTACATTCTTTATTTTTGGTTCACTTTCTTAACTGGCCCGTTTTGATCTGCAGTGGAGCGACTTTTCAAATGGATGTTTCAGATGAAACTCTCCATAGAACGAGAGTGTGAGGCTCATGCTGATCGTATCATGTGGACCGGATTCGCGGCCATGGGAGTGCAGACAGGTAAATAATTTTTTTTGTATTTTTTTATACTGGTTTGCCGCACAACCAAGCCGCCTTTCTTCAAGTTATGACTGTTTGTTGGTATTCAAAGGGGAAGAAACCATTGCTAGGGAACCAGTTCACCTCTGTCAAATTCTGGGCTTCATTAATGTGTACAGGCGAGGCAGAAAGATCTGGCTTGCTGCAGAAACAAATGTCACCGAGCCCATACAAGCATGATTACATTCCCTGTGTGGTATCCGTGGATCACCATTCGTTGTGTAAAACAGATTAGGGCCCTATCTGGCCGTTGGGGAGAGAGGTCTCTTTTCGGTGAGGAAGTCCTTGAATCTGATCGCTGCCTTTCTTTCCCGTTTCACCCAAGCTGATGGCTAACTGGGCGATACCTTCATAGTTGGCGACACAGCAAAAACTACTATTCCTGATAGTTAGTCGATAATGTCTATCCCTCCACGATTTTCAAGGGATGGAGTGTGTGGCGCATTTCAGAACAGTAGATCGAAACCTAGCGCCTTCCAATCCTTCACTTTCTGCTCCTGAAATGTTGAGACTTAGTCACTGTTTATGGAATCTCTTTGCAAAATCATATGGTCCATATTTCAAAGTTAAGGCCTGTTTGCACGATTGACATGGTGGGAGTATTCATGGGATATCATGGAACCGGTCACATATTTCGCCACCTACGCAACAGTAGTCGCGACGTTTGGCTATTATCTGTACACTAAACAGGTTCCATGATATCCCATGAATACTCCCACCATGTCAATCGTGCAAACAGGCCTTAATTTTGGAATATGGACCATATA